TTATTATGAAGTTTAATACTGCCATGGCAGTTTAGTCCTAGAATTGTGAGAAGCACAGGATATCAGTACTTATTGTGGGGAAGATTATATAATAAATTGGATTTTGAAACAAATAATTTTGATAACCATGCTCTATTCAGTGCTCTTATGTCTGGCGTAGACATTACAGATAGTGGGTGCTATTAATTTCACAGAAAATGCATTGAAGTCTTTCCAATAGTCAATGTTTTGTTTTTAGGTATACTAAGCAGCAAAGCAAGCACTCAAAATCATGGATGACAGTAAGACCTCAAGCTGTTACATAAACAATTAGTTAAAAATAAAGGTACATTCCAGTCTTACAAACCAGGAATTTGACATGGGAATTACAAGTAAACATTTCTAAGCAGCCATGGTGCAGATTGAACCAAGAGACTCAAGGCACCATGGTCCTTATATGTATATAAGAATTTTTTTTATCAAAATGATGATTACTTCACATTAACTTTTTTTTTTTATAAATTCATCCAGACATACATTATTTCCTTGTATGACATTAACTTTTAAAATGATTGATTTTATGAACAGATTGTGTACAGAGTTGCATTTTACTTTTGATATGAGAAAGGGATAAATGAAAGCACCTTGTTTTTCTATGCCTTTATTTTTTATGTTCACTGAATGGTTGCATAAATTACAGTAGAATGAAAAGAATCCTTCTACTCAGTGACTTGCATATTACATGTCTTATGAATGTTTGGTCAGTAAACTGATACTCGTGGTAATAGTTATTCTGTGATTTTCTTCAAAGTGAAGTAATCCAGCAAATTCAACGGCAGTCAAAATGTAGGGGACATTACAGTGAGTGGGAGATTGGCCAGTCCCATCTCCACTGATGCTGAGTCATTGCCTGGTAAATTCTCTAGCAAAAGCATCTTTATATCCAGTGCAAGGCCAGGATTTCCATCACAAATGTCACAATGTATTCAGCACTTTCCTTGGCAACACCATCATTTTCTTGGCAACACCATCATATATGCTCTGATAATGAAAATAATATATTCACTTTTATATCTGTCATTTCTGTTTTGATATGTGCAATAGCTTACTGCAAAAATAAAATATTTGAAAATGTATGAACACTAAAATAACCATAAGGACTGGATTTCACACCACCAAATTTAATTGAATAAATTTACTTTGAAAATAAGAAGGAATATGAATGGTGTTTGTGTATTGTGAGAAACTTAGAATTTATCTTTTCAATAAAGATTTAATGAGTTTTATACCTCTTCTGTGAGTTACTGAATTCTCATTTCATGTTCTTGAGTCAATCCTCCTGATCTCACACCTCTTCCAAGCCTTGTAGTACTTGACCTAGAAGTGCTATGTATCACTGCCAACTCTACTAAACCTTTATACAGGGCTTTTTTTCTAATGAGGCTGACATCACAAGATAGTATGCTGTAAAATAATAATAAAACTAATAATAATAATAATTGGCACTGATTTAATTGCATGCTAGTAATAATGTTGTGAACTGTTCAAAATGGGTTTCACTTCAATAAATCATTGTCCTGCACTCAAGCGTTCAATTGTTATCCCTAAACTATAAGTTTTTGTATGTGTGGATTATGAAATGTGAATATAGATGAGGGTAAGGTGGGTCCTACACATTACTATCAAAACTAAGGAATGTGCCAGATTAACTAAAAGGCCTGTATTATTTAAAAATAACAGAAAACTCTTTACCTCAGGGAGCTCTTTACCCTCTAGTTCTGGACTGTGCTGACTGCTTGCCTCATCAACATTAGGCCTACTCTCGATCTGAAAAGTATAAAAACAGATCGACTAGAAAAGCAAGATAAAATACGTGTGTGCGTACAACAAAATTTAGGCACTCCTATTGACGATTTTGACATCTGCACGATGCTCACCACTACTGCCAGTAGGTATCAAAATCGTCTGGAACGCATTTGTAGTCCGTGCTACACTGTGCGTGCAAATCGCGATGTCAAAATTGCGGCTCAGAAAGCATAGCAAACAACAAAAAAAGTAACAGTCGTTCATAAATATCCAACCGAAAAGGGCTGGTTCAGATGACCCAAAAAATATCACTGTCTCTAATCATGTCACCGGTATATTTCCTGGTACAAGTTACTCATTCGGTGAATCGGCATTGAGAATTACAGTATCAAGCACTGTTGACCTAGTAGGCTACACTCCGTCGTAAATATTTCCAAGCCATTCGTTGATTTTTGGACTATTTTAACCGACGAGAAGTTAAATGAATTCTTTTAATGTTTAAGTGCACAAACCTGTTCACGAACAATGAAGGGAGAGAGTTTTAACTAATGTGCATCTGTAAACGACTTACTTCGAACTCCACCGCGCCATATTTGTTTCTCCTTGTGTACGAGTGCTATTTTAGGCAACGCACTCTGATTGGCTAAAACCTTGCGGTAGACGTCTTCTCTTTTTTGGGGAGAGGACGTTCTCCAATACAGACTCTAATGTGAAATAATTAATTATTTTGATTGCCGTCTACCTCAAAGGCGAATTTTGGTTTAGATCGTGACCTTCATATATAAGAAAAAGTTTGGGATATGTTTCATTTTCCCTCATATCGGGAAGAGACCCTTTAACAAGAACAAGTTAATGTTTACATGATTTGAATATTTATTTAATTATCTCAACAAGTTTGGTAACACCTTTATTCAGTTTGAATGCCAATTTAATAAAAGATACAAAAGGTTTTACCTTAACAATAGTATTGCAAAATTTATTTTCAATTTTTTCTGAACGAGTACCTCAGTAACAAAGACGTATAATTAGAAAAGAGTTTCTGAAATGAAAAAAGACTAGACTGCTTTGATAAAATAACTCTTTTTTTGTGAATTTTGCATTTCATCCATGCTATCTCTTCATTTCAGGACATGTGGGTAAGTATGGAACAAAGCGAAAACAATAAAATCTATTCGTGTCACTTTTTATAATAATACTTATGCTCTGGAATATTTGGATAACATTATTTTGAACGACATTGGTTACCATTGAAAGTTAGAAATGATTATATCTCAATATTGCATGTTTTGAAAAGACCTTAACAAGAACGAGTAAATGTTTAAGTAAAATTATTTATTTAATTTGAATATTTATTAAATTATATCAACAAGTTTGGTAACACTTTTCTTCAGTTTTAATGCCAATTTAATTAAAGATACAGAAGGTTTTACCTTAACAATAGTATTGCAAAATTTATTTTCAACTTTATCTGAACAAGTACCTCAGTAACAAAAATGTATAATTAGAAAAGAGCTTCAGAAATGAAAAAAAAAAAAAAGACCAGATTGCTTTGATAAAATAACGCTTTTTTTGTGAATTTGACATTTCATGCAAGTTATCTCTTCATTTCAGAAATATTCGGTAAGTATGGAACAAAGTGGAAACAATCAAATATATTCATGTCAACTTGTTAGAAATACTTATACTCTTAATCTTTGGATAACATTATTATGAACGACTTTGGTTAACATTGAAAGTTGGAAACGATTTTATCTAAACCGTATTATTACATGTTTTTTAAAGACTTTTTATAAGAGCAAGTAAATGTTAGATAATTAAAAATATTAAACTCTCATATATCGATAGGAGTAAAAGGAGAATCTACATCAAATGTTTTTTTTTTTAATTCATAACAGTATATCTTTATCAAAGACATTTTTCTTTATTTCTTTCAATGACAACGTTTAGTAAGTATTCCAGAAACACGGAATTAATGTTATATATCTGTGTCATTTTAAAACAAAATGATTGTTCATTTTAGGGAACATTGTAAATCAGAAATGACTTTATCTAAAATTTAATATGGACTCTTCTTGTTAAGACTTTTAAAACAGATACTGCATCTAAGACTGTTAAAGATATTGAACTTCAAGCTCGATAATTGTAGAGGGGGAGAGCTTAAATGGTACAAGTCATTTTATTTCAAAACATTTGGATAGAGATTTGGAGTTGTTTGTTAATATAATTGAGATCAGTTATAGTGAACTATGTGATTTGTAAATCACTTAATCGAAATCCTAGAATTCTATACTTCCTTTATATAATCTTAAATAATCAAATATATTTTACATCAAACCTCCATATAGGTAGGAGGTGAATTTACAGTAGTACACTTGATTTGATCTTAATGAGCAATTTTAGATCACCAATGATCTAACACGTTCTTAATCATCAAACAATAGTCTAAAAATGGACTGAATCTGATTTTAAGATAAAAATGATCTAACATCTACTTAAATGGTCAAGCCATTCCCTCTACTCGCTATGGGGTATACCTCCCTTCACAATAAAGGACACCTCTGCTCACAAGAGGAGAATCTGTGAGGGGAGTCAATTGCATAACAGCTTAATTGGAAACCAGTCCAGTAGTGGTCCAACTCATGGTTTATGGTTATGCAAGATTGTCAGTGATCTGAAATAACACTTATGTACCAAACGGGTGCAATAGTGTTGCAATATGATTTCTTGTTATTATTTTGATTTGAATATATATCAAATTATCTCAACAAATTTGATAGCATTTTTCATCAGTTTGAATGCCAATTAAATTAAAGCTATCAAAGGATTTACCTTAAATATAATATTTCAAATTTTATTATAGAACTAACTTGAGGAATTACCTTAGTAACAATGCTGTGTTATAAGGAAAGGTTTTAAGAAATGAAAACGACCAGATTGCTCTGATAAAATAACACATTTTTAAATTTTGCATTTCATCCAAGGTATCTCTTTATTTCAGGAAGTTTGGGTAAGTATGGAACAAAACGGAAAGAATAAAATGTATTTATGTCAATAAAAAAAACACGTCTACTCTGGAATCTTTGAATAACATAGTTATAAATGACTTTAGTTAACATTGAAAAAAGGAAACAGTTTTTACAAATTATCTCAACAAATTTGGAAGCTAGATAAATATGTNTAACAACTCTACTAAACCTTTATACAGGGCTTTTTTCTAATGAGGCTGACATCACAAGATAGTATGCTGTAAAATAATAATAAAACTAATAATAATAATAATTGGCACTGATTTAATTGCATGCTAGTAATAATGTTGTGAACTGTTCAAAATGGGTTTCACTTCAATTAATCATTGTCCTGCACTCAAGCGTATCAATTGTTATCCCTAAACTATAAGTTCTTTGTATGTGTGGATTATTACATGTGAATATAGGTGAGGGTAAGGTGGGTCCTACACATTACTATCAAAACTAAGGAATATGCCAGATTAACTAAAAGGCCTGTATTATTTAAAAATAACAGAAAACTCTTTACCTCAGGGAGCTCTTTACCCTCTAGTTCTGGACTGTTCTGACTGCTTGCCTCATCAACAATAGGCCTACTCTCGATCTGAAAAGTATAAAAACAGATCGACTAGAAAAGCATGATAAGATACGTGTGTGCGTAGCCGAAATTCAGGCACTCCTAATGACGATTTTGACATCTGCACGATGCTCACCACTACTGCCAGTAAGTATCAAAATCGTCTGGAACGCATTTGTAGTCCGTGCTACGCTGTGCGTGCAAATCGCGATGTCAAAATTGCGGCTCAGAAAGCATAGCAAACAACAAAAAAGTAACAGTCGTTCATAAATATCCAACCGAAAAGGGCTGGTTCAGTTGACCCGAAAAATATCACTGTCTCTTATCATGTCACCGGTATATTTCCTGATACAAATCACTCATTCGGTGAATCGGCATTGAGAATTACGGCATCAAGCACTGTTGACATAATAGGCTACACTCCGTCGTAAATATTTCCAAGCCATTCGTTGATTTTTGGACTATTTTAACCGACGAGAAGTTAAATGAATTCTTTAAATGTTTAAGTGCACAAACCTGTTCACGAACAATGAAGGGAGAGAGTTTTAACTAACGTGCATCTGTGAACGACTTACTTCGAACTCCACCGCGCCATATTTGTTTCTCCTAGTGTACGAGTGCTATTTTAGGCAACGCACTCTGATTGGCTAAAACCTTGCGGTAGTCGTCTTCTCTTTTTTGGGGAGAGGACGTTCTCCAATACAGACTCGAATGTGAAATAATTAATTATTTTGATTGCCGTCTACCTCAAAGGCGAATTTTGGTTTAGATCGTGACCTTCATATATAAGAAAAAGTTTGGGATATGTTTTATTTTCCCTCATATCGGAAAGACCCCCTTTAATTATGAAATCATTTAGCTCTCTCAATCAAAGGACAAGTAAACAAGGCTCTGATCAAATTGGATATTTATAATAGAATTTTACTGAATATCATTGAATATCACTACAAAATTTCTTGGTTTTTACTTTAGGACTGTAGGCAGGTGGTTTTGGCGGGGGGGGGGGGGGATAAAAAAAGCCTTTTAGCTGGAAAAGGTCCCCTCTTAATCAAAATTTGGTCTAGTGTGTTCTATGCCATTCCTCAGGTTGATCTACTTTTTTGAGAAAGGTCCACTTTTTTAAAGAGATTTGCATTCATTCTTTAATGTACTAGACAGCATGAGTTTTATGTGGATGAATTCTACGTAGGTGACTGTTTTTCTTTCTCCATGAATGACCTCAAAAAGGAAATAATGACCATCCCACCACCATCTTTATGTGTCATTCTGATTCCCCCGTCTTCTGTGGCGGAGATGTTACACAAGATTATCTGTTTTACATGTAAATAAGTGTCACAGCGATGACTATCTTTCATTTGAATCAGGCCTACGTGCAGACATTTCTATAAATAATCACAATCTCGGTGACCCATTTTGGTACAATATCTGCAAAGTTGGTCTGGTCAATAATTCGTAGCAAAGCACATAATGAAGGACAATCCCAGGCCATTAGGAACCCAAAGTTCGAGGAGGTCAAGCGGACACATTTTGGCCGACTGCCCAGTTCATATCCACACTATTACCTTTACTAATTTTTTCCAAAGTAGAGCTCTGCTGCACTGGTTTTTTTGTTATTATAAACCATTAGGGAGGACAAAGGGGCCTGTTTGCTGTCATAACTGACAAATGTGAATCATATTTTGTTAATTTCTGTGAAAAGGGAAAACTCACCAAAATCATGTCACCTACCTGACCAAGAAAACCTCAAATAATGACTGAAAAGTTGAGAGATGGGTCTAATTTGAGAAGGTGTAGTATCTTTGTTTTGGGAGGTACATGGTGAAATACCATAAAGGAGAAAAAACACAATACATGCATCTCCTCGACGGTGTTTGACGTGTCCATTTCACAAAGACATGAGATATACAGAGCCAAGTCACGACTAAACTGTCCGTCATATTTAAGTATAAAACTGTAAAAAGACAACAAAAAAATTACAAAAAAAAAAAAAAAAAAAAACATAATACCAATCAGGCAAAGTTCTATCCTATGTTGACTCCTGCTCTCTATAATTAACAGCCTTGGTACTCTGAGGGACCAGGCTAGTAAAGGTGGAGTGTTTTAAAGTACACTTTAAAGCATAGGAGACTAACCAGAAAAAAATCTAGTCTGGTCTTTGATCTCTTCAAAATAACTCACCCCAGAAGTCCCCCTTGAGTTTTATGCTTACAAAGCTTTCTATTACCTCAGAAACCTAATTTTTAATAAACCACTGTAAAAGTCAGATGCCCTTTTTTTTTTTTTTTTTTTTTTTTTTTTTTTTTTTTTTTGCAAATTTGACTTTAAAATAATTGATTTACAAGAGTTCTATTAAATCAAAGGTTTTACTTTTAAAGTCAAAGTCTCAACATTTTTCTTTAAGTCCATAAGGTACATGCTTTCAATGTTAAAGGGTCATTTTATACCGTACTCAATAACAATACCCTGCTCATCTGTTTGGCCAAGGAGAACACAACTAATTGTTAACAAGAAAAAATCATATACTCATAATACTAACTATTGACTTGCTCTTGAAACTAATACTGTAACAAAAAATAATACTACCTGAAATAATGTGTTTGGTCCCTGTTATTTTCATTGTGTCTGTAATTTCAAATTTATATGACAAAGGTAATAAGGCAAAGAAGAAAACCATGATTAATGTCATCGATAAATAAAACAGCTGCCCACAAAATGTTTGTGAAAACACCTTGTTACCAATTTTGAAAGAAATCTAGAGATCATGAAAAGTACACCAAAGGAAATTTTCATTCACCTTAATAGTATTTCTAAAGCAAAATTTACTCATATCTTAATCCAAATTTTATTTTTAAAATAAATAAATGGCCATTTTATCCAGATATAACTCAAAACAGTACAGAAAAATTGATTCTGAAATGTTTCCAACTCCCCAATTATTTTTTTTTATATACAGAGAAAATGACCAGAAAACACTTAAGCATACAAAAACATTTATTCTTATTTTCAAAAATTTCTTGAGACCTCACTGCCCATCTTCTCATTCTCTTCGCAAGATGAAATCTATGCTGGGTTCAACCTTCACATCTTAGTCACCTCATTTGCATACATCGAGGCAGTGACCAATCACTTTTCTTCTCCACATACACGGGGCGAGCAGGGATGACCAACAAAGAGCAGGGGCGTCCAGTATTGTCACTGTAGCAAGGTTTGACAGTTAAATTCCAAGCAGCACCAGATGGATGGCCTTTTATTACTGATCTAAGATTACAGTGAAAACAGATCACTGATAAGTGTGGCACAGCAGGTCCTCTCTGGCTGGCCAGAATTCCATTCACTTGGCTTTTCTAATGTCTTCTCTTCGGAAGAGAGGAAAAATGGGACATCAATGACAAAAAAAAAAAAGAATGTTCACAGGAATTATGGAAAATATTCAATCATTGACACCACCTACTCCCGAACATCCGTATCTTTTATCATCAAAGATGTCCATCTGTTAGACAATTCCTTGTCACTAGATACACAGAAGAGCTTAGCTCTTAAAGAACAAAGAAAATGGTAGAAGAAGGGAAAAAACATAATTCAGACTGTCCCCAAGTGACCCTGGCCAGCAGCTATTAAAAACCTCATCAATCTTCACTTGAGCTGCTTTTGACATTTACTCCTGCCAAATCAACCTCTTTCCTTAATACCTGGGAGAACCTGATAGTTCTCCCCCAAATATGCACTTCTTCACTCATCTTCTTTTAAAGATACAATCTCCATAAACTTACTTGGTAACATTCCCAGCAATAATTAATTTTTTTTTAGCAGGACAAGTTGGTGGTCCTGAAAATGCCCATTGTCCTCCTCTACCACTAAGCCAGCCAGTGGACTATACTGCTTGTAATTGAAAGCCTGCTAGCACCAATTATCCTGTCTGGTGCTTTATGGACTGATGGACAGTTATAATGCTATAATGGTCACTCACTCAACCCACTGACCACCTGTTAAGATGGTCATTTTCTACTTGACCGACCTTCACCAGAAGTGAACTTTGGGCCACTGGTCATATAATCTCCCTCTGGCCACAGTGTGGCCAGTGACTAAAAGTAGGTTAAATGTTTAAAGGAAGGGTCAGGCAGGTGGTCATCTGGGTCAGACCAGGCTGGTCAGTGGGTCAAGCTTAGGTGATAGACTATACCTTAAGCTCCTATGGACTGATGGACCAAATTGTGTGAGGATAGTTTGCAACTTAATCTCAGATAAAAAACAATTTACTCTACATATTTTTTTTTCTATGTGGAATTGATTTGGTGGCCTTTTTTTCAGCTTTAAGGCCAAATGAAAATTATCCTATGTCCCTGCAGTAAACAAGTTCATTGACTTTTGAAAGGTGCATTGGGATCAGCATGTAATATTGGCATTATATTGAATAACATCTGCAACTCCAATTTATGCTTTTCATTTTTCATAATTATTATTATTCCAGGAAAAAGGAAGATTCCAATTCCATTTTAATTTCTATAAAGCGTTATTATTCATCNAATTTTATTTTTAAAATAAATAAATGGCCATTTTATCCAGATATAACTCAAAACAGTACAGAAAAATTGAATCTGAAATGTTTCCAACTCCCCAATTATTTTTTTTTATATACAGAGAAAATGACCAGAAAACACTTAAGCATACAAAAACATTTATTCTTATTTTCAAAAATTTCTTGAGACCTCACTGCCCATCTTCTCATTCTCTTCGCGAGATGAAATCTATGCTGGGTTCAACCTTCACATCTTAGTCACCTCATTTGCATACATCGAGGCAGTGACCAATCACTTTTCTTCTCCACATACACGGGGCGAGCAGGGATGACCAACAAAGAGCAGGGGCGTCCAGTATTGTCACTGTAGCAAGGTTTGACAGTTAAATTCCAAGCAGCACCAGATGGATGGCCTTTTATTACTGATCTAAGATTACAGTGAAAACAGATCACTGATAAGTGTGGCACAGCAGGTCCTCGCTGGCTGGCCAGAATTCCATTCACTTGGCTT